TATAGTATAAATGTTCAGAATATGTTACAGAATTACAGAAATACCTATGACGTCCGTATAATATAATAATATTGTACATAACTATAATGTCTGCGTAGAGGAAAATTCGAATATTATTGCTATAGTATAAATGTTCAGAATATGTTACAGAATTACAGAAATACCTATGACGTCCGTATAATATAATAATATTGTACATAACTATAATGTCTGCGTAGAGGAAAATTCGAATATTATTGCTATAGTATAAATGTTCAGAATATGTTACAGAATTACAGAAATACCTATGACGTCCGTATAATATAATAATATTGTACATAACTATAATGTCTGCGTAGAGGAAAATTCGAATATTATTGCTATAGTATAAATGTTCAGAATATGTTACAGAATTACAGAAATACCTATGACGTCCGTATAATATAATAATATTGTACATAACTATAATGTCTGCGTAGAGGAAAATTCGAATATTATTGCTATAGTATAAATGTTCAGAATATGTTACAGAATTACAGAAATACCTATGACGTCCGTATAATATAATAATATTGTACATAACTATAATGTCTGCGTAGAGGAAAATTCGAATATTATTGCTATAGTATAAATGTTCAGAATATGTTACAGAATTACAGAAATACCTATGACGTCCGTATAATATAATAATATTGTACATAACTATAATGTCTGCGTAGAGGAAAATTCGAATATTATTGCTATAGTATAAATGTTCAGAATATGTTACAGAATTACAGAAATACCTATGACGTCCGTATAATATAATAATATTGTACATAACTATAATGTCTGCGTAGAGGAAAATTCGAATATTATTGCTATAGTATAAATGTTCAGAATATGTTACAGAATTACAGAAATACCTATGACGTCCGTATAATATAATAATATTGTACATAACTATAATGTCTGCGTAGAGGAAAATTCGAATATTATTGCTATAGTATAAATGTTCAGAATATGTTACAGAATTACAGAAATACCTATGACGTCCGTATAATATAATAATATTGTACATAACTATAATGTCTGCGTAGAGGAAAATTCGAATATTATTGCTATAGTATAAATGTTCAGAATATGTTACAGAATTACAGAAATACCTATGACGTCCGTATAATATAATAATATTGTACATAACTATAATGTCTGCGTAGAGGAAAATTCGAATATTATTGCTATAGTATAAATGTTCAGAATATGTTACAGAATTACAGAAATACCTATGACGTCCGTATAATATAATAATATTGTACATAACTATAATGTCTGCGTAGAGGAAAATTCGAATATTATTGCTATAGTATAAATGTTCAGAATATGTTACAGAATTACAGAAATACCTATGACGTCCGTATAATATAATAATATTGTACATAACTATAATGTCTGCGTAGAGGAAAATTCGAATATTATTGCTATAGTATAAATGTTCAGAATATGTTACAGAATTACAGAAATACCTATGACGTCCGTATAATATAATAATATTGTACATAACTATAATGTCTGCGTAGAGGAAAATTCGAATATTATTGCTATAGTATAAATGTTCAGAATATGTTACAGAATTACAGAAATACCTATGACGTCCGTATAATATAATAATATTGTACATAACTATAATGTCTGCGTAGAGGAAAATTCGAATATTATTGCTATAGTATAAATGTTCAGAATATGTTACAGAATTACAGAAATACCTATGACGTCCGTATAATATAATAATATTGTACATAACTATAATGTCTGCGTAGAGGAAAATTCGAATATTATTGCTATAGTATAAATGTTCAGAATATGTTACAGAATTACAGAAATACCTATGACGTCCGTATAATATAATAATATTGTACATAACTATAATGTCTGCGTAGAGGAAAATTCGAATATTATTGCTATAGTATAAATGTTCAGAATATGTTACAGAATTACAGAAATACCTATGACGTCCGTATAATATAATAATATTGTACATAACTATAATGTCTGCGTAGAGGAAAATTCGAATATTATTGCTATAGTATAAATGTTCAGAATATGTTACAGAATTACAGAAATACCTATGACGTCCGTATAATATAATAATATTGTACATAACTATAATGTCTGCGTAGAGGAAAATTCGAATATTATTGCTATAGTATAAATGTTCAGAATATGTTACAGAATTACAGAAATACCTATGACGTCCGTATAATATAATAATATTGTACATAACTATAATGTCTGCGTAGAGGAAAATTCGAATATTATTGCTATAGTATAAATGTTCAGAATATGTTACAGAATTACAGAAATACCTATGACGTCCGTATAATATAATAATATTGTACATAACTATAATGTCTGCGTAGAGGAAAATTCGAATATTATTGCTATAGTATAAATGTTCAGAATATGTTACAGAATTACAGAAATACCTATGACGTCCGTATAATATAATAATATTGTACATAACTATAATGTCTGCGTAGAGGAAAATTCGAATATTATTGCTATAGTATAAATGTTCAGAATATGTTACAGAATTACAGAAATACCTATGACGTCCGTATAATATAATAATATTGTACATAACTATAATGTCTGCGTAGAGGAAAATTCGAATATTATTGCTATAGTATAAATGTTCAGAATATGTTACAGAATTACAGAAATACCTATGACGTCCGTATAATATAATAATATTGTACATAACTATAATGTCTGCGTAGAGGAAAATTCGAATATTATTGCTATAGTATAAATGTTCAGAATATGTTACAGAATTACAGAAATAATTGACAAACACAATTAACGAACGAACGTTGTACCCGCGTTATAGGTAACTCTTGTTCTAATCAACATTTTTAAATGTTTTTATTGGCTTAATAAATTACAAGTGTAATAAAAAAAAATAAAAAAATGTAGACGTCATATGTAGTAACATTAGTCATTATGCAGTTTTTTGATTACATTTGTCAGTTATTTCTGTAACATCTCTTTCATACGACACTTGCATAATCGACTCCACCCTTATAGAAGTAGAAATTTCGTATAATTAATCACCTTGGCGTATAATTCACGTATCGTTACAGAATAATAATAGCTAATAATATAAAATGTGTGCATCACATGTGTTCCAGTAGGACCCAATATATTGTTATGTATATCGACGCAACTTAACGATACTGCAACGATACGACACGAACATTGTATCACAGAATAAATTAATCATAATAGACACCGATAAGAAATATACAAGAAGTATATTAAAATATGATAAACGAATTCGCCATTTTTTCTGGAGAAATTAGTATGACCATTATTATACATGTACCTATAACAACATTATCAAAAAATCGCCTCCAATATTATTGTTATCATATTAAAGTGTCCAGAGCCTGATTATATTAAAACACTTATCATATAATAATTGTTCGATTTCAGTTCTTCGTCCATAAACCACTGCTGACCAATCGGCAGGCTGAGTTTTTAAGATTTAATTTGCCGGGGATAACTCATTCCACGTAAAATACTATTTATTTCAAAAACTATATCTAACGTTTTTGAATATATTTTTTTTACATAATTTTACAATATTTTTCTAAAGAAAATATACTTTTTATAGCTTTTATCGTTATCATTTTTTTTTGTTTTTTACTTTATATTAGTAACAATAATACGCATTTTGAATTACTTATTCCAATACAGAGTATTTTTTTGGTGCAATTCGATGAATACAAATCAGATTTTTGACGATTAGTTATAACTTACATAAGTATTTAAAATTTAGATAGGCGGAGTGGTTGTTAGACATTTCATACATTTAAAATTTAAATACTTGTATCTTATATAAACGACTTGTCTGAAATTTGATTCGCATAGATCAAAAATCTGCAAAAACAGCTACATTTTTGCGAACTGCTAATCATTCTGCTTAGGAATACAAAATTTAAAATGTACTTCGTCATTCAAAACAGCAAAAAAACATTTTTTTTAAATGTATCCGTTAACAATTAGAAAAATATAAAATATTCCTTTAAAAAAAGGTTTTAAAGCTTTAAATTTTAAAATAATATATTTTCAACAACTTTAATAGTTTATGAGATAATAACGAGCATCTTAAACATTAAGTGAATTACTTCGTATATAGTATTGGAGTTTCTAGATTCCACCAAAAAAAAAATGTTTGTTATTATACTATGAAGTACACACGATATTGTACTTGTCGTTTTTAAACGAAAAGCTTACAGTATGAGTGCTTTGAGACAGTGATCGGACATTTGTCGGCTGTGATGAGTATTTTGTTTTTCATTTATTTATCCGGAACAATCCTGCCAAGATAAGAAATAACATATAAGAGGATGAGATTAAAAAAAAAACTACTACGAAGTACGAACAAATTAAAAACTTTAAATTATCAAGTAAAATTGTATATCAATCTTAAAATAAATCCTAATGTGAAAAATCTAAGCACTTATAACATAAAATATTTACCGGTTATTATTATACAAACAACCATCGTATTTTACGAGTGTCGAATAAAGGTGTACGGAAGCCGTTAAACAACAGTCATTATCATTGATATTTTGATATTTTTCAGTTTTTCTCTATTTTAATTTGGACCTATACTGATTTTTATTTCTATACTCGTCGGATTGTTCCCAATTATCATTAAATCCTGTGACATGTCCCGGAAGCGTATCGGAGCGGAAACCATTTCATCTATTAATCGGTAATGTCATACCAATACTTCCTGTGCGTTCTAAAAATTTACTCTTTTCATTTTGTTAGTGTTGGCTTTTTCTCCTTCGGACAATAATAATTTGGCGTGCGTTTTTCTTCCGGTTTCTTCCGTAAAACTACACACGTGACACTATATTATGTATAGCATGTCCTCCTGCCCTGCCCTAAATCCGGCTGTTGTGATATTTTTTTTTTTTTTTTGTACTACTTACTTACTTTGACCAAAATTAATGATGTACTCGTTTCAGGATATCTGGCAACGCGGCCAGCAGCAAGAACATTCACGGAACCGTTTCGGCACAGCTCAAAAAGAACTTCGCCAAATCCAGATGGAAGGTACGTCTCGTCGGTCCACCCGTAGTCCGTATTATTACAATAATATCATCACCCGTACCTATAACGTAATAGCAAACAATTTATTCGACGCCATTGCACAACCCTATCCCAAACCTTATACTACCTGACCGAACACACGCGGTAGACAGTAGAGACTCGCGTCGTTTGCGTCCTAGATCATACGTACCTATACCCCTTTACCTACACACCTCGTCGTATCTACTGTTATTATATTATGTTTAGACGATTTAGCTTCGTGTTGTCACGATAATGCATCGTAATTATTGTTCTTATACATCAAACAATGTACAACAATACCGTAGTACCTGTAATGATGATAATATATTAGACACATACCCGCGTACCTACCTCTACCCGACTCCTGCGTACGTAGATCGGCGTATATCCGATACCCGCCCGACGGAGTAGAAAAATGCATCAATAAAACCGTTAAGATGATGATGATGATGATGATGATGATGATGATGATGTTTCCAGCAATTAATGAACGCCATTTCCATGGTGCATAAAATGCAGAGGTTAGCGATGAACGTGTCGGAAGTGTCGGACACATCGCCGTTGCTGCCTGCTGCGGCAGGCGTGCAGCCGAACAGACAGAAGTGTGCTACGATTGTAGAGGAAGCCGAGATTGATGATTTTGACGGTGACGACGGTCATGGCCAAGATAATAGTGGCTATGGCGCCGAAGGTAGAAATACAAATAGCGTGTGTGTGCGTGTGTGCGAGTGTGCGTTGTTACCCAGCGACTGCCAATTATTATAATCCGTGTTGCGTTTGAAATGATCCGGCTTGCGTGAATGTATATTTTGAAACCACGTAGATGAACACACAATTGCATAATATTATTATATCATAATAACGTCGCATAGAATAGCGCACCCACGTGTACGAGATGGCCGTAATTTAAAAATAAAAACTCATTTTCACGATGACATACGTTATTGTGTACATACGTAGAGGTACACGGGGACGATCCGTTTAGCGCAAGACACTTTTTTGAAAAAAAACTTAAAATTTGTTTACCGTATTTTTTTTTACATTTTTTTAGTGACAATATGCATTTAAAATTCTCAATATTTGTCGGAGTAGTTTGATGCCAATGTATGAAAATTGAATTTCGGACGAGTAGTTCAAGTGCAGAGTACAAACTTTAGATGAGGGTAATAGTTGAGTAGTACTTCCGTTGCCCCGCAAAATGTTAGTTCACATACTCCCATCGTAAAAACTTTAAATACCTGCCTACTTACCCATAACTAATAAACTACGTGCGTCCGAAATTTGATTTTTATAGACCAAAATACTCCAAAATAATGTTCCGCTTCGAAAGATGAAATTATAAAACGTGTATGCTGTCATTCAAAAGATAAAAAGTAGTACAAAATATAATTTTATCCCAAATGTGTTGTTTGTTAACGACCTTAAATTATGCAAAAGAAATATTTTCAAAAATGACATATTTTGCTTTCTGAAATAATGATTGTCTTACGTTCAATGTATCATCCCGTAGATTTGAGAATAAGCCATAAGAAAACCACAAGTTTTAATCTGAGTTTTAAGAATGTTCTTCTGACGAGGGCACGACCAGGACTACATTCATTTGCATATCCATATTGGACATAAGTTTGTAATGTGAAACATTTCAAACTTATATCACACGAATACGTTTTAAAGTACAAACGCAAAATTTTGCTTTATTTATTTTTGAATATTTTTGGTGGTTTTTGAATATTTTAAGAATATTATTTCTTTATTTATATGTTTTTTTGTCATAATATAGAAGTAGACACTTTAGTTATTCATTAAAAATAAAATAAATAAAATAAAAATGCACCGATAGAAATTAGATACCAGGACTCGGGACTAGATCAGGACTCTAATAATAAACTTTAATTTTAAAAATTTAAAAATTATATTTTTAATATTTTTAATTACCTTCTATACAATCTTCTTATAACATTTTTAAAAATGATGAGTAGCAATAAGTTTCTAAAAAACCAAATCCAAATAACATTATTATTCATTTTTTAAATAGTTTAATGATTTGTGGCAGTTTAATAATATATTTCATTAATATAGTTTTCGAACACGAATACGACAAAAGGACGTCACACGCCTTTTTTCGATGGGTCTGAAATAAAGGATATTGTGTATAATTCAAATATATTTAAGTCGATGTTAAAAGTGACTTAACAAGTGTTCCCATGCGTCAATCAGTAACTACGCCCGTTTTTGGTTGTTGCTTAATTATGTCTTAATTATCTATAGAACTTAACTGTTATGCGAGATAAATAATCCTAAAGACCATACAAGGCATCAAAATATTTTCGGCCATTTTCAAACAGTAAGTGGTAACGACTTTCAATTACCACCTATGAAGTTCATTTATAGTGTCAGTTTAAATACTTTCGGATAATACGAAACTCGTAGAACATAAAACAACAATATATTTGACGTTAGAAGTTTCAATATATAAATTTAGTCTTTGAGGAGCAATGGCCGAAGAAACGAATTAAATAGCAAGTATAACGCATTGTACGTAACTAAAACAACACAAAATATGAAAATTTCTTCAAAATTCTGTTTCCGCTAAAATTTTAAATAATAAATTCGGATACTCAGACACCTCGGCTCAGAATCGTATTGTAATTCCGGTGGTCTTGTATTCCGGTGTGCACAGTCCATATATTAAAATTATATTTTAAAATAATAATAATGATAAATAATAAATAATTATAATTATTTACTGCCCCTACATATATCCGCTGTTGTACGGGGTGAATTTTTTTCGTAACGCAAGACGTGACTATCAAAATAAGTAGTCGAGTAGGTATGTAATCATCGGGTAGATATTTATTTTAAAAAACATTACCACTCGCCATGATAAAAATAAAACACATTATTATCTTTCACAACCCGCATTTTTCACTAATAATTCACATAAGTTTTCATAATATTGTAGTCGGCAAACATCAATTAATTACGATTTTATCGTTTAACGATTATTCGAAATTTCTTTTGAACGAGTGCAATAAACAAAAAATGTCGTGGCACTTATGGATGGGCCTAGGGTTAGTACCACGCCCACTCTGTACCATCCACCCTAAAAATCCGGGGTCGTGTGACATTGGTGTATCTAGATAGAGTGTGACGACCTATAATTTGAATTTGTATATGAATATTGTCGGTAAAAAACCATTGAGACACACCCTTTAGCGTGTGCATTTTTCGATATTTTCATTGCTCAGTGGCGGTGCAAAGGTATTATGCATGTGAGTGGCTAGGTATTAGCAAAGCACGTAGCTAAACCCAAACCGTTTCGCGAGAACGTATGAACCACGACTCGGGTTATAATACTATATGGTAGTTAAAGAACCAAATTTTAACCCTATTATAATCAGCGAAGACATTACACTCTTATTTTTTTTAATACGTCACTCGTGTTAATTAATATCAAAACGACATGGCACTGTCAATGTTTTCAACTTTTTACTTTCTGCCTATAACTTACTGTAAATACTACCCTCGTCGGTTCAGTCACTCTCGAAACCGTGGTTTTTCCGTTATGATATAACCATAATAGTCACAAACGAAATTGGTACTGATGACGTGGGACCACATTTAGGTCGATTTAAATTATTGTTTAAACATACCTATTATTTTAATGTTCTTAAAATGTCATTAAAATTGCCTACATATCAGAGCCCTTGAAAAGAGGGCGGTGGCGTCCAAGCTCTATTAACTCTAGAAGCGTATATTTTGGTAACCGAGGTTAATTATTATACGATATATAGTTTGTCTTCCGCACGATTGTACACAAATACCCGGAAGGGTTACCTACCTAGGTATAATTACCTATATATCTTACTCGTAGGTGTATATATCAAAGTGCAGATAAACGACGATTTCCGACGTAAATAAAAAAAGTTTCGTTTCCAATTTCTGCCATGGGATGTAATTATGAGTAGAGTTGCATTTTTAAAAAAAGGTATTGACCAAGACGATAAAGTTCTTGATGCTTGAATTTAAAAAAATACTCCGACTACACATCATACAGATTACAGCATCTAATGTATATTATATACTGCCCTTATTCTGTTAAAATAGAAGGTAATTACAATTAGGTATATTTATTTTTGCAATAAAAAATATTTACTTTTCATAGTTCATTCATAAATTGCAAAACCTTCAATTGATCAAACTGTGGTGAGACATCAGTTTAATAGTAGTTTTTTTTTCAAAGATAATGATTAGGCCCCATATTCGTATAAACTTATAATGGTCCGACGTCCATAATGTATTATATTATGTCTTGTGAATTATACATTAAAAATTCAATCTACCACAAAATATGTCATAATCAGTTTCTTATTATTATGAAAAAAACTGTACAGTTAAAAATATTTTCTGTCTTAAGATGTTATAACATTTTACCTTGTTAGCACAGTTGTGCCTGCTGACCAAAAAATGAACTAGGCTACTTCAGGTTGGGTTACAATCTTTTTTACGAATTCAACATTTGTGGGTCAAATGTGACGCACCCACACGTCTATAAAACAATATTGACTTGTAAGCTTATGTCTAAGATCACAAACGAATTCATAGAACAAATTTAGTACTGCGCATTAATAAGCATGTTTAGAGATTTGAACTTTGAAGCATAATGACTGTTATTTTTTGTGGCTCCATAGAATATATTTTTTATTTTTTTTTTATTTTTAGTAAAGCGCTTGATTTAATTACAACAACGAAAACCCAACGACGGGATTTTACCAATATTAATTATTTTGTATTTTGTATTTTTATTATTTTTAACGAGATAGAAAATCATTTCAGAGAGAAATTATATACGAGGGTATTCAAAGATTGATTTTTTTTCGACGATGCTATTAATATTTTATATCGACTACAAGTACATTGTTAAAACTCAAAGTTCCGGAATCGTTGCTCGCATCGAATTCATGAACTCTACACACGAGAGA